GCACTGCACCGCCCGCCCGCCCGCACAGCGCCCCCTGCCGGCGGCGGGGGGGCCCGGCCGCCCTCACGGGACGGGCTCGGCCGCCCGCGAACAGCCCGAGCGCCGCTCGCACCGGGCTCGGCCCCCCTGCCCTTCCGCGGCCCCCCGAGAACCGCCCAAGCACCGCTCGCACCCCCGGCAGGTCCCAGCGCCCCCGTGGCTCCCCGGGGCCAGCGCGAAGGCGCTCAGCGCAGCCCGCCCTGCTGGGGCGAGCCCGGCGGCTCGGACCTCGGTCCCCATTCCTGTGGCTGCTCCAGCACAGAATCGCAGAACTATTCCAGGTTGGAAAAGACTTCTGAGATCAGCGAGTACAACCTGTGACCGGTCCCCACCTTGTCACCCAGCCCAGAGCACTGAGTGCCACGTCCAGTCGTTCCCTGGACGCTTCAGGGACGGTGACTCCACCACCTCCCCGGACAGCCCCTTCCAAAGCACTGCCCTTGTTCCCGGGATTTAACAAGGTCCTGGGGGGACACCCTCCTCCCCAGGCTCGACCTGCCGAGCCGCCCCCCTGCCCAGAAGGCACTTTGGGGGCGCTGCTCCCCCGCCCCACGTCCCGGGGCAGCGGCACCCCCTCCATTCCCACGGGCCCCGTGTTCCAGCTGGGATCTCACGGAGTTGCACGAGGGGAAGGCACATGCCACCAAACCCGTCCCGTGCCGTGTTTGATACAAGCCGTGTTCAAACACAGCGGTTCCGGGGATGCCACGGCTCCCAGAGCTCATCCCTCTCCCGGAGCTGGCAGGCTCCCTGAAAACGGAGTCAAGAAATTGGATTTGCTCCCCCAGCTGTGCAAAGGAGTAGCAGGTCTGACTCGGCAGAAGATCAACGTAACACCACAACCAGAAGAAAGGGAAGATAAAAGGAAAACAGTTCCACCTAGAGACCTTTTTCTGCTGACAGAAATCAGCATGTGCTGGCTGAAGGGCAGGAGAACAGAAGTCCAGCTTGTCCCGCAGGACAGGGAGCTGCAGGAACCAGCAGAAAGCCCTCGTTGCTCTCTGAGCAAATGTCCAGCATGAGCTAAACACTTTCGGAAAGTGCTTTCCCAAGCCCAGGCAAAAGAACAGATTTAATAATCATTTCGACTCCACCCCATTGCACAGCAGAGTGCACTGTGATTTTGTCACACTTAGCTTACAGAAGTCATCACCACAGCTGAATTTGAGATAAAAGTCAGGTAGTGAGAGGCCCCTCACAAGGCTGACATATAAGAAGAAAAAAGAAAAAGAAAGAAAATTAATCAGATCTCTGAGTTTGCTAGTCCTGTACTTACAGGTCCAGTAGCCAGGAACACTGAAGGAATCACCTCTGTGGAGGAAGCTGCAGTTTGAAGCAAAACTGGAAGATTGTTCCCCCTCCTTCTCTTAGCATCTTGAAAGGATTTGCTGAACACCAGCTCTCTGAGACCACCATATTCACAACCAGCAATTTGTTCAACCTTACTGTATCTTCTGTGTGTTCTTTTCGAGCCACCAAGAAATCAGTAATAAAAATAGCGGGGAAAAGCCTGCCCAGACATCCAGGTGCAAATGCCTGACCATTCCCCAAACCCAAAGCTGAAATCACACCGAAATCATGCTGACCACAAACACCTGAAATGGCCACAGGTTTCTTTAGCAGCAAAGCACTCAAGGCTCAGAAAGAGCAGAGCAAACCATTGCCTCCTGCAATTTCAGCTACTGTGAGTCAGCTTTGATGACAGACACACTGAGGACAGGGGTATCAGGAACCCTGAACTCAGCCAGGGACAGGTGGATCAGGGAGAGCACTGATGGAACCCTGAGGACAATCACAGTCTTCGTTCACTGCTTCCAGCAAGAGCAGTTTACAAAAGCAAAACAGGAGAAGGCTTTACTTTTAACCCCAACTCTTTGTGCTGGAGGCCCCATGTAAAGCTGTTTGGTTAAAGCCTTTGGACCACCTGTAAAAGTTGGGCTTGTAACCACGATGGTGTTGGTAACAAAAGACAAACCAGCCTCTGCTCCAAAAACGAGGCCTGTATATAGAATGATTCTGCAGAAATGCACCTCAAAAATGTCTCCCTCATTTTCCTCTCTGTTACAAGCACATCGTTAACTAAGATATAAGTGTGATGCTCTTAATTCCATTTTCTGGTGCGTAGGGTGGGAAAGATAAGTTTATATGAATAAATTTAGGCCCTGCATTCAGACTTTTCAGGAGAATTTAAACCAGGGACGCTGAAAAGCAGATTTAAAGCAAAAATGAGAAAAAGAAAACACCAGTTGTTTTACATGCAAAATGTAATTAGCTGATGCAACTCACTTCAACTAAAACCTAAGTGAGATTCAGGAAAGGATCAGGCATTTACATGAATAATGTGAATATCCAGATCAACAAGAGAGAACAGTTTGCAGAATACAGTCTCATTTCTTAGAGCATAAACCAACCTCTGGCAGATGCATTTTGGAAAAGGCTCCTCAGGGAAGGCTGCCTCATAATTTCCTCCTTAATTTTCCTGCACCCTCTTTTGAAGCAGTGTTGCCTGCAGGAAACTCTATTAAATACAGGATCAGCCTGGACTGGCAGTTCTCTCTTTGGGGTTGCATACAGGGAGCTTTGTTAAGGAATTCCTGGACAGTGCACATTATCTCATCTTTAACAAGGTGGTTGTACAGCATAATACTAGAAAGCAAATACTGTGTATCTGCTGAGGGAGACGACTTGCAGGACATTTAATGGTACAGAAAGGGGATGTTATCCACACGGGGACAGTCCAAGCACTGAAATCATGCACTGGATGAATGTGGTAAAGCATAAACACAAAAGCAACCAAAAGGAAATAAAATCAGTTTTGTATAGTCTGCTGAGAAAGTTCAATGAATCACGCAGGGCTGCAAGCCAGCCTTCCAGGCTGGGATTTGGGTCACTGGCACTTCAAAGTCACCGATTCTGACACCGAGAAAGTCCAGGCAGGCTGCACAAACCCTCATTTAACTCTCACCAGTGCTGAAAGCAAGCAACCTTTTTATTAGGCAGCCCTGAAAGCAGAAGTCATGACATGGCAGCCTTCCTGTCCTCTGGTAGCTCGAGTAAGCACCAGGGGCTGTGTTTGCCACATTCTCCCAGAGGTGAAACTTGTAATAAGCAGTAGAGATCCACAATGTTGTGTCCACTGATCTCAGGGCTGATCCCTGCATGACCACGTGTGCACTGAGAACATGCAGTTTACTAGAAACTTAGGTCCTAAATTTCTAATTGAAGTCTGACTACACAGCTCCTCTGGCAGCTTGTTCTTTTAGTCACTCATCAGTTGAGGGAGAATTCTTGTCCTCTTCATCAGGTGTATTTTTTAGCTGTTGACGAGCAAACTCCTCAAATACCAGCTCTGCTTCACTGCAATGGAGGAAACACAGGTGTTTGAAAATGATGCCAGCCATGGTTTGTACCAGCAGACTACAAGCAACAGATAGGAGGGAGAAGAGAAGCCTGGAGCAGCCTGGTAATGTTTCCTTTGACTTCAAGGGGATTTGGATCACATCCCCACAGGCACCATCTTCACTGGTGCTATTCTAGCTAACAGGAAAAGCAGTTGATTGACCAAGTCAGGACACAAACTGAGGAGGTTTTCATGGGTACTGAATCATGTCCATTCCAGCTTTCCAGCTACATATTTATCAGCTGTCTGAACAGCCTGCAGCCTGAAAGGGGCTTTGTCCAGGAATAAAATGTGCAACCTTTCATCCTTATTCCTTCTGTACTAAAATAGAGGCACATGGTCAAATCTACTAAGTTCCTGAGACTCTGAGCTACAGAACATCAGGTGAGCACGAACATACCCCTCCCTCAACTGTGAGGCAAAACATGTTCTCTTAATCAAATTTCACATGGTCAGCCCTTGCTGGTTAACTGAGAGCAGGCATTTGTCAGGCCACAGTAACTTGCTCACTTAGGATTTTAAGCTGGGGATTTTTGGACAGTTTTGGGAAGCTTTCAAAAGAGTCAAAGCACAAGTGCAGCCAGAATGTGAAATGCTAAAAGAAACTTACCCATCCTTCCCTGCAGTCACCCATATGCAGCAAGGGAGGAAAAAAAGACACACCAGGTAGTTAAAACAGCAGATGCTGAAACATTTAATGCAAAGATGTATAGACTGACAAGTCAAAGCAGTGACAAGCAGTAGGATTTGCAGCAGTATAAGGAAAATTCCAGAAAGTCTCAAAATGTGCATACATGCACCTGATGAAGCAAAACTTGATCTCCCAAATGGAAAAGCACTCCAGCAACATTGTCCAAGCCATCAGAAGGGCTGAGAAACCCAGACAGATTCTCCCACCTATGCTTGCCTGTGGTCACAGAAGGGGAAACATCTAGGCACACACTTGGACCCCGAGCTGACAGTGCCTGCGTGACGTGGTGTCAGCTTTAACTGCTCTGTCACTGTGACTGAAGGAGTCAGCTGAAGAGAAGACATGCTCTTGTTCAATAAACATGAGGGGACTAAAATCAGAGGTCAGAGTAAAGAAAGGCCTCATGCTCTCTCATTAGATAGGTTATGCCCTTGAGGCAACACTCCTGATTTCATCTTTCCCTAAAAATAGCCCCAAGACCTTTGGCATTTGTGTTTCTTTAATGGGATCTTTGCTAACCACACTAACAAATGCTGCTTGCTAGCAGGATTCCCTGGAAGCTGTTTCAGCACAGTCTAAAATAAGCAGAATAGACTGTATTTGCAGGGATTTTTTTGTTCTCACAGTTACTTTATCTTTAGCGAGTCGCAGTCACTTCAGTGGCTTATTTATCCTGGGTTTGAGTCAGGGAGCAAAGCCCACCTCGTTCTACAGAAGTCACTGGGGATCTGGGATGCCTCAGTGACTGGAGAACTCATTACCTGGAGAATTCTCATCCACAGCACACACTGAAATCAAGGGTGAGTGGTGACAAGCGCTGCTGGAAAAGTCAGAATTAAAAGTGTGCCAAATGGGGCTGCTCCAGCCAAAATGCCTCAGAATGCCTCAAAGGATGGATCATGCAAAGACAGCCCTGATGGTATCTATCCAGACACAGATGGTTTCCTCTACTCCCAGAAGCCAAGATGAAGCCTGGAAAGTCTCAGGGCATGTATGCTTGATTGCAACGGAGTTAAAGTAAAACTTTTAGAACTTCTAAAATTTCCAACACATCATTCATGTTTCATTTTTCCTCCAATTTTTATTTGTTAAAGAGCCTGCTCTCTGAGGCACACTCATTGCTATGGGAACAGTGGTGTCAGTGATGTGGGTGAAGCTGAGCGAGATCCCACCAATGTAATTTGAAACCAATTTTGCAAAATGGATTGAAGGGGAAAATAGGTTTTGTTTCACTTTACTGTGAGATAAATGATTACTGAATCAATACATAGATAGTGTGGCAGCAGAGTAATGCTTATTACATAGCTCAGAAGGCTCAAGCTTACATTCAAAGATGCACCACTTCACCCTCAGGCTGTGGCACTGCCTCCCACGTGCCACACTGGCACCCTTGCAGGAGCCAGCCCCGCTCCAGAGTCCTCTTGCTGTCCAGTGCCTTATTTAATACTATAAAATTGAAAAATTCCCAGGAAATGGGTAGACTTTTGCTTTTTTTAATTAACATTCCAGCAATTGTTTTGAGGGTTGGGATGGGAGGGGGGTTGATGTGGCTGCAGAAATGCCATCATACTCTCTCTCTGCAGGGTTTTCTGTGAGCTTTCATTATGCAGCCACAGAAATGATTCCATACAGTTAAAGTTGTGGCATACGGTAATTTTCTTTATAAGCTTGCTTAACCTCTCTTAACTTTATGGGGGAGGAAAAAAAAGGTAGGTTCTGTTATTTTTCAAGACATTCAAGTGCTTTAAAAATTCGCTATTTTCTGGAAGTCACAATACCAATACAGGGAAGGTATTTCTTTACTATTAGAGGGACAAAGCATTTTTGGGTGTCCTGAAACCAGCCCTTTCGTGCAAGTTTAACCAGGGAGCAGATCAACGACTATTTGTTGAACAACAGCCAAAACAAAGACCAGGGTCTAAGACATAAGCCCACAAAATGTAAAACATCAGGAGATGGGCAGGAAAACCCCAGACCAAAGAACTCATGCTGAGACCACAGCCTTGAGGAAAACCCAGCAGGAGCTTCTGGGCTAACTGCTGACCAGGAAAGGTCTTGGAAGCATGAAGGGACACAGCCCAGTTTGAGTCTATCTTTAAAAGAAATAGATCCCTGCACATTTTTTGTCAGCAGGCAGAAAAGACAGACTTGCCAGTGTGACAGGAGCTGCTTTGCCTAAAAATAACCCCCTAGGGGACCACATGGGTCTAAACCCAGTCAAAAACCCAGCACACATAAAACATGCAAATCCCAGACTCCCAGGGGTCCGAGAGAAGGAAGATGTAAATAAACACAGGAAAGGGAAGGTGGCAAAGCCTCTGCTTTTCTGTCTCCTCCGGGCACAGGGAAGAAGAACCAAGCAATCTGCAATAGCCATGCACCGGGACAGACCTGCTTTTCCCTGAGGAATGAAGGCTCCAGAGCTCTCATGGACAGCTAGAGAGGGCAGAGCCATCTGCTGTGGAATAAAACACATGGCACTTGGTCACACTCACCCCATTTGGCCCTAAAAAAATCAAACCATCTGCTTGGGAAGCTTGTGTTTCTGAAGTTCTCTACTCTCAAGTCAGCTCTGCATGATTAAAGGCATTATGTTTTACTTCTACCATAAATCATAAATCACCTTGGCTGGAGAAAAGGATATTCCCTCACTGCAAGGAATAAATCATAATATGTGGCCATTTTTAGTCCCACTTCAGCTTTGACTCTCTAAGTTGGTTCCTTTGACTCTTTTCTCCCAGCTGGTGCCTTCAGACAAAGTGAAGTACAGCAGGGAGGTGCAACGGGCAAACTGGTTCCTACTGACTCATCAGTACAAACAAAAGGGAACGGAAAGAGAAGATGAGGAGTGATCTCGAAATTCCCTAGGCATGCACCCCTGCCTACATCCACTGCAGAGGCTGCTGAACAAGCCAACAAAGAAAAGTTCCATCTTTTGAGAGTCTAAACACTGTTTGTTGAAGCTCCATCTCTGCAATTAAGTCTTGATTTGCCTGATTCCCAATTAGATGGTGTTTTACTAATGAAACATATTGTATTTTTCAGGGCTCATGAGCTAAAGTGGTAGAGTAAAAAATTAAAAAGCCTGAACTCACAATTGGGAAAAGTGATTAGGCACAGTGCATGGAAAACTACCAGCAATAAAGCTGGAAAGGATTTGACTTTACCAGCTTCATCTGGGAGGCTATTTTATTCACTGCAATAAGCTCAGACCCCACATTCCAGCACAATTTTCAAGTCAGCTATGCAGGATTCAGAGGAGTTTTCTGCTGTGTTAAAGTATCTTTTTTTAAGAGAAACCATTCATTTCCCGAGGTAACCATTTGCAGGGCTTTCCCAGGGGATAGCTCCTGAAACTGCCTGCCTTTTCCTTCAGTTTGTAAGGAAGCTGCAGTTTCCATGTGTACAGAATGCATGGACCATAGCTGTCTCCTGACAGCAAGCCCCTACAAGACTTTGATGTAGCAAACAATACGTGGGCCGTGCCCCTGGTAAGAGGATGTACTGGGGGAAGTGATCTGAGAAATATTACAGTTCTCCATTTCCCCTCCAAAGTCTTCTGCCCACATCCTTTTGAGTGTCCTTTATAAAGGAGTACCTCAGCCCTCCTTTGAATTGATCTTAGAAGGGAAAACTGCCCGATTTCCATTTTTCCTCATACTACAAATGCTTCTCCCAGAATTATAATGTAATAAAAAGGGGGTTGTGGCATTGTTAACACCAAAAAAACTCATGCAAAAAAATTCTCACCATTTTAAAAATGTAAAATTCTTTGCAGTTGCCTACACCTTTGGATGAGCCTTGTCAGAAGTTTTCAAGCTTCCCTTGGTGTCCATGAAAGCTCTGGATTTTGCATCCTGAGCTGCCCACAGGCCCTCACCAGCCACTGCTCCTGGGGCCACCAGTGCCATCCCAGCCCCTCACCACGCTCTGTCTGTGCTCAGGGGCTGTGCTGGCACAGCTCACAGCAGGGGCTTTCCCAGTGAAAATGAGAGTTTCCTGGAGTGCAATTCTTACAGGAGCAATAAAACCTACCTTTGCCCACTCTAGCACATCCATAATTAGCAAACCCCAACTCCCAGAGCACAGAGTGGATCACCAGCATCTCTGCTCATGGCTTACACTTGATTCCTGCAACAATTTCACAGCAAGGACTCAATGTTTCTAATGCTGCTGGTACAGAACAGAGCATCTATCTCAGGGTAACTCTTCTCCCAGGTTCTGTCACCACCTTCCTGTGGTCACATTCTTAGAAACAGCAGCTTTAGGTACATTTGGGTCCAAAGAGAAAAAAGGAAAGAAAAAGCAACACAGAAGCAGCCATGGAGTTTTTGTTTGAAGTCCCCCAGCTCTGTCCAAACACAGGGGCAGGCCAAGGTGGCTCATCTGTAACAGCCCCAGCACGAAAAGGCTGCTGTGTTTGTGCTCAGGAGCTGCTTCAGAGCTGGACAGGAGCCTCTTGTCTCTGGTGCTCACCACTGGAGAACAGAGCCAGCCAGAGCCTGAGGAAGTGGGAGGAGAACACAGATGCTCCTGACAGCCTGTGGTTTTGGCACCTGATCCCAAGCCTCAAGATGCCTGGAGAAGGCTTACTCCTTCCACTGCTCTAGAGTTGCCACACTTCCCTGTACAGACCTGATGCTGAGGAGACATTCCTCTTGGCTAATCACTGAACATAAAGGCCACATCATAAACACCATGGCCAGTGCCACATCAAGATAACAGGGTCTCCAAAATCATCAGTAGTTTTACCACCTCGTAACTTTGCTTAAAAGTATTTTGCTTTTTACAATGCTCATGTGTGTTAGGTATTTTCTGATTTTTTTTTTCTTATCCTGGAATGTGGCTGGGAATTGCTGACAGCTTCATTTGGGACATTCTTCTCTGTAGTCATGAGATTTAACTCTGCAGTGCTTCCTCAAGCCCATGTCCTTTGAGCTGTGATTCCACAGATGAAAGACGAAAAGGGAACATGACTCATTTCCATTTTCTCCCATCTTAGCATCCCTCCTGCCTGTTATTTTGTGCCTTGAGGTTGAGAGAGAGAGATATATATACACACACATACACACACATAGAGCAGCTCCATATTGGAGCCTTGTGGGCTCTAAAGGCTTCCTGCAGCACAAATCCCTCTAAGCCTTACCCTGGTGAGATCTAACTGGAGTCTGTTAAGGAACAAAGGCAAAACTCAAGTGTCACTGACCTGCTGGGCTCCTTTCCTCAGGTTTGGGGTGCATGAGACGGAACGGCAGCTCTGTGCCCACTTCACTTGGGGGAGAAGAGAGACTGCATCAGACCCACAGCTCCATCCATGCCTGGTCCAGACCTCTTCCCAGTTCAGGCCAGCACAAGCCCCCAGCTCCAACTTCACCCATTCTTTCATATTTTCTAATCATAATTTTCCCCTCGAGGAGAGTTAAACTCCAATTTCTCCACAAATATCCCAGGCATATCCATGTTCATAAACTGGGTTTATTATCTGCTGAGTGTATTTGCATGGACACAAAATCAAAGATATCTTTGTAACTGCTTCATTTTCACAGCTGAATGGACAAACTTCTTGCTTCTATCAGCTTAAGGGATAATTATTTTTTTTAGGGAGGTGGGAATGGGAATAGGAAAGAGGGTAAAAAGATGAATTAACAATAGGACTGCATGGTCTGAAAAGGAAGATGACGTTTACCTGGAGGTCAGGTCTCCCAGCATGCTACAAAAGAAAACAAGGGGAAAAACAAAGAATATTTAATGCCTTTCCATTCTGGTGTTTTACCAAATGCTGTTTTATTGTAGACTATGGAAATCACTGTCCTCATATACTGTTCTCTGCTTGCCACAAAGCATAAAATCCAAATAAATCTGTTTTTTAAAAAAAAAATCTTCATTTTTCATGTCATTCCCATGGAGAAAGAGACTAAGTTTTTGAACTCCTGACCAAGTGTTGGGCACGGCCCCTTTTCCAAGAGCCAAAGGAGCAATTGGAGGTCCACAGAAGGCAGCAGGCATTTTATCAGGCTTTAGGCAAATCACTGATTCATTTTTATACTAGAAAGAAGGACAGATGAATGAAATACAAATGTAAACAGTGACTAATATCAACTGAGAGTTATTATCCTTGCCCTCTTTTGCACTGTATCCTGGAACTAGCTCATGTTGATAACATCATCTTTTCCCAGAAAGCTGGCTTAGTACAGAACCTGAGCTACATTATTTGTGACTCTCAGGCAGATGTTTTCACCTTCTGGTCTGAAAGAACAATGCCAACATAAAGGCTCACACAAAGTTTCACTTCAGTTCTCACAAAATAGGTTATGGCTTTGAAACAAAATGTTGCAAAGCAAACCAGAGGTTCCTGCTTGAGCCATACAGTCATGTGGTGTCTACGGATGGTAATTCGAACCCTCTGGTTCAGGGCAAGTTCCTTGGACAGGCCAAGATTGATTTCCAGGAAATTTATGCTTTGGGAGGAGCCTCATATCCTACAACATGTGCCCCTTCTCTTGGGGTGGAGTGTCCTGCTCCCTCCCCACCCTCACTGATGGACACACACTCCCCTCTCTTAACTCCAGGCAGGTACAGCAGAAAGGGTGTCACACTTACCCTGGAACAGTGAGCTTCACTTTGACCTTGTAGGAAACCAGGATCCCCATCACTGTCTTGTCTATTCCATCCTTAATGCTGCCAGAGAAAACAGCAGTGTGAGGTGGGACAGCAACACGGCACAACACACACCTGGAGCAAGGACTAGGGGAACATCCTGAACGGGGTAGAGCAGACAAGCCTCAGGGACAGGCCCCAGCTCTGCAGAGCTGTGACCACACACCCTGAATGAGTGTGACAGGGTGAGCAATGCTGCTCACACGGACTCATCTGCACATACAGTTATAAAGTCCTGACAGAAGGGTCTCCTCCATCCTCCCCTCTGCTTTATAACTCACCCACTACCTGGGACCATTTAAAACTCCACTCACATAGTACTAGAAGCCAAGTTGGTGTCCTCATCCTTTAGTTTTCCATCCAGAGCTATTTCCCGCGTCTCCCGGTTATTTGCAAGCAAGGGCAAGAGTGTCAGTGTCTTGGTCAGGCTGCTGTTGGGCTGCACCTTTTCCCTGAAAATAATAAGGGAAATGATACACTCTGATTTGTGTTACATACCCAACCAAGAGAACTGCAAAACAGAAATTACAAAGCTGCCCAAAAGAAGAGGAATTTAACCCAATTTAGTTGCCTGCAGTGCATATGTCTACATCTCATCTAGTCAGTAAAATTCCCTTTATAATCAGCAAAGAAGAACAGGCACTTACAGGAAACGCTTAATTTCACATTAAGGCAGAAAAGTAGGTCAAAACTATAGAATCGTAGATTAGTTTAGTTTGGAAAAAACCTTTAAGGTCATGGAGTCCAACTGTTAACTCAGCACTGCCATGGCCACCACCAAACCATGTCCCCAAGTGCCACATCCATTTTTCCTAATATCCAATCTACACCTCCCCTGGCACAACTTGAGGCCATTTCCTCTATGCTGCAGACCTCCAAATTTGGACAAAATGAATCCTAGCTGAGAAGACCAATACTCAATGGAAAACATGCCCCTAAGTTACAGAGCAAAACACCAGACAAGTATAAAGTCTCTGGGTATGCCCAACCCTCCTCACAAAGTGAAGTTCAGTGCTGCCCTGCCAAGGCAGTGTGAAAAAGCAAGTGGTTCTCCATAATGTCAGCAGGCTCCAGGTTTTCATGGACTTTCTCAGGCCAAAAAGAACCAAATGAAATGGTGTGGAAAAGACTGACCACTCAAAGAGTAGCACCTTTCAGAAAAGTGCTGCATCTCTATTTAAAGCTTTCCAGCAATGAGGAGCCTTCCACAGCCCCTGCTAAGCTTGTCTAGTAAGCAATTACTCTTCAAACCTCTTCTGCAACCTCCCCATTCCCTGAAACATCGTGCAGGGTCCCTGCTGGCTCTCTGGAAAAGAGACCAGCTGCATCTATAGAGCATGGATGTGGCACACACATGAGGGAAGAGAGGAGAGAGCACTGCAACCACAGGCTGTAATGAGGAGAACCCCCCATTACTCACAAGGAGGGTCATTAAAAGGGTGCAAAGGAGCAGGAAGGCAGAAGCAGAGCATTCACTCACTGTGCTTCCTCAGCAGCCACCACTTTGGTATAGTAGTCACTGGAGTACAGCACCACATTGGCAACCTGCTCCACTGAGGGAGGGAGGAGAAAGTGAACATCAGTCGTGTGTGTGCAACAGAAGCAACACAGCTGCCCCTGCCCTGAGTCTCAGGAATGGGAAACATGACCAGGACAGCAGGAAAACCCATCCATCTGGAGCCTGAAAGGACCACCAGGTCTGACAGCCTGACCTGGACAGAGACCAACAGCACACCAGCAGCCAGGGCCTGTCTGCCGTGAAAGGCACCCAGCCTTGATTTGGAGACAACAGGAACTCAATTACCCATGGTTTCCCTTGGGAGCCTTCTCTTCCCATTATAAAGACCTCCCTCTTCCTTCTCTAACCATGTCTGCTTTTATCTCTGGTCCTGGTATCTCTTGTGTGCCTTTGCATTTGCATTCAGGAGACACCATCACACAGACTGCAGTCAAGAGCCTGTGATAACAAATGGCTTATATTCTCCAGTCTAACACAAAACCCCCCAAGGTAATTCTGACTGAAACACCGATGAGGAGAGAATCTGGGGACCCACAAGGTCTTTTAAAGCCTAATGGAGGCATATCAGACTAAAAATATTTGGGAATCACTAGACAGTGCATCCAAGACGGGCACTGAAATGGCTTTCTCTGCTGTAGAGTTTTGTAGGAACCTCGGCCATTTTGTTCCTTCCCTGCCTTCTGTTCTCTTTCTCATTTCTTGTCTCTCAGACCATCTTCCTCAGCTCTGCAGCTTGTGGCCTGAGAACATGTAGTGCCACAAATAAAACACAGGCCCAGTGCTGAGCTCAGCCCCTGCCCTCAGCTCCTCAGGAGGAATCACAGCAGAAGGGCTGTTCCTCTCATTGCCATGTTTCTGGAACTCCAGGCAGAGCTGTAGGGGAGCGAGGCACATTCACAGTTAGCAGGAGCATCACAGTGACAGGGAGCCCTTCCCACTGCCCTCCCAAAAAAGGGGTGGATTTTCCTCCACAGCTCCTGCCTTGCTTGCCTGCTACATGTGCCAGACCCTCTCTCTTTACTGGAGGGAACAATCTGGTGCCTCAAATTAAGACTTAGAAGTAACCACAAGAGTTAGGAAAAAAGCTGCAATGTTTCACTTGATGAACAGCAAAGGAACAGCAACAGACAGGGTGGAGGGACAAATTCTTTACTCCCTAACCACTTTCTTAAGCCGTTGCAAGCACTAAATTTTGGCTCTCTTTCAGTCCTATTGCGCTCAAAGAATCCTAAGCAACAGTCAACACATACCCTGGACTTTGATCTTCTTCACTGTTTTCTCCGTGCTGTTGTTGATGGTGACAGTGACTGGAATGGGCTCGCCATGGTAGTACACCTAGAAGGAATTTGATGCTCAGAAATCCAGCCAGGAGACTTCTCCCAAGCCCTAATCCCCTCTGGTTCCCCCAAATTACATCTCACAGAGGCTGAATAAGGGAAGATGACCCTTCCCAATGATTCATGACCCTTCTTTCAATGACTTCTTTAGCCTCAAATGTGTCTGGTAACAGGGTTTCAGCCTCCCCTAACAGCAGCTCCTGACAGGAATTACATTCCTTATAGTGGTAGGACGAGTCAGTCTGAGCTGAGACAGCAACACATGAAGTAGCTGCTTTGGGCAGCAAAATGCACACTGGCCTGCCAGTCCTGGGCTGTCCACAGCCCCGGAGCAAGTTCCTCCCTCACCTCTTTGCTGAGGCAAGCTTTCAGCTGGAGGGGCTTGCTGGACATGAAGAACTGCCAGGTGGTCTCTGCACAGGGCTGGGGTCCCGGCTCCTCCGGAGCGTACTGCACCTTACGGATCAGCAAGCGAGCAGAGTTCCTGGGAAGCAGCAGAGGACAACGTGGTGGCACCTTGTGCTTGGCAGAGGCAGGAGTTCTGCATTCACACGTGCTTACACCCAAAAAGTCCATTGACAAGTGGGGCACAGCTGAACAAGCAACCGAGGGGCATCACTGGAGCACCCACCCCCTTTAAGGGCAAAGCTGAAGACAGACACACACATTCTGTTACCTTTTATGAATTCTCTCTTCCACATTCTCTGTTGAGAAAGCTTTTACCTCAAAGTCCACCCCACAGGTCTGCCAGAGAGAGAGAGAGGACAGCTGTGAGATGAGGGTCAGAAGCCAGGAGCATCTGCACATGCTTCAATATCTTTCTGCACACCAGAAATTGGCAGATTCCTGCCAGCTGCAAATTCTTCTGGCCTCCTGCCACTGTAAGAGAGATCCCTGCCAACCAGGGTGGCAGAATCTACCTGTTCCACGATGCTTCTGGTAAACAAGGCCTAATTCCCAGCCTCCTGAAAGGCTTTCTGTGAGAGCAGTGCTGTGGAGGTCACAGCATAAGACTGATCAGTGTGCAGGGCTCTCCAGCCCACCTTGGATTCCTGAACTGAATTTCTGAATTGGCTTTGTAATGTCAATACCTTCCTTCCCAGCATCTAAGGAGTGGGAGTGATCAGGCCCAGCTGACCTTTGCTTTAACAGGTTTATAGTATCATGGGACATCTGTGTGAGTCCCAAGTAACTCTCTACAGAGAAATTTTTGCTAGAATATCATTCCCTGACATAAAATGTGGCTTATCCTTGTTGCACTGGATTCTGCACCTTGCCTGTTCTGCTGTTCAGAGAAGCATCCAGTGAAGTATAAAAAGAATATTTTAAACGTATCAGAAACCTTGCAGAACATCTCATTATTTAATGACTTTGACTCCAGGGCTTTGGTTTGTTTACACACATGCACAAACCAGCCCTTTTCTGCATTTAATTCAGAGCAGGTCTTAACACGTATTATTTATAGCAATCTATATTAATCTATTTTAGGCACTCTGTCTCCTTTCCTTTCATGTAGCCTCACAGCTACAACCATTTTATGTGCAACCAACCCACAAATCATGTGGTAATCTTAAGAAAGCTACAGCATTGCACATTTTGTAGTCTTGCTGCTATTTGTCTGGATTCCCTTTCTTATTTTGAGGACTTCAATTCCAACTCTGTGACATACACTCGTAGCCCTTAATGTCAGGTTCTTGACATTTGTGGCACAGCACAGTAAAATCCAGTATCACCTTTTCCTACTCTCAAGCTGGACAAATATATTCACGTGACTTTTTTCCATCTGACTTTCCCCAGCCATGATAAGCAGAAGTGTCCCATTGGTCTCACCTTATCAGCATCACGAGGTGCAGGCTGCAGACAGACTGAGCAAGGCAGGTAATCTGGAAACTGTGGGAAGAAGAAGAGAAAATACCCCAAAGCAATATTACACAGATATTCTAGGTAACTTATTCCTCACAAAAGCAATTCCGTAGACAACGGGTCACTCACTGTCATGCAGTAACCCTTTGGAATTCTGGCTGGTACACTTGCCTTGTATGAACAAGTCCCTCTCTTCCAAAAATACTTTAACAGTCAAGATGGGAAAAAAAAAGTAAAAAAAGTCTAGGCACAACCTGGATCCTCCCAGGGAATGCTGAGGCAGACATGACACCAACAGTACTGGAAGCATATTCTGTCAGAATCAGTTTGGCTGGGAGCTGCTATTTGTTGACAACATCTGCTAAAGAGCTTTTCATCTGCTTATTTGATCCATAAAGGTTTTAAAGCAAAAGGATTTGGTGCTGAGGCAATGGTATAAAGTATTCCAGCCCCTCAGGAATGGGAAGGCATAGGTATGTGGGGCTGCTGCTAGCACAAAGCCATTGCATATTCCCTTGCCATTTCAAAGAAAGCACTTTTCCCAGTGCAGTGATCATTGTGCAGTTGGGATCATCTTGCACTTTACTTCTTAGGACGGCAAGAAGAAAAAAAAACATTTGTACACTTCCTGTCATTCAAAACTGGAATTTGCAGAATGTGAATTCACTATTAACTCCCACCTTCGGTCCATCACTGGGCCTCAACAGCCTGGTAAGAACAGACAAGGAGAAGAGTCAGAGGCCATTCTGAGATACTCACTGTAAAGAAAAAGGGATAAGCATTTTTCCCCAGCTTCTTTAGCAGAGATTCCTGCAAGTGAGTGAGAGGCTCTGGCTTGTCAGCAGGAGGGAACACCTGGAGCCTGGAGAAGAAGAGGTCCCGTCGGAAGGTGAGGCCCATCACATCGATGTCCTCCTGGCCGTACCGGAACGCACAGGTGAGGGTCACGTACACTGGGGACAAGCACAGGACAGGTCAGGCCTGCAGCAGGGTGACAGTGCAGCCAGGGTGATTCGTGGAATGCTCCTGCACTAGAGACATGGAAACTCAATTCAACACTTGCATAAACCAGTGAGTATTCACACCACATGTAACAACTTACATTATGTTGAGTAGGAAACCCATTTGTACCCTCAGAACAATAAAAAGGTTCTATCTCAGCACCTTGCTTCGAAAGATAACAATTTCTGAAACATACAGCACATAAAACCTCGAACCTTTTTTCCCCTTGATCATAGCAGGATCCACCAGTACAACACCATCTGAAAGGAAGTTAAAAAACAAAGATTAACAGAGGCTGATCAGGGATGAGAGAGCAGGAAGGGCAGCACGTTTCCTTGTGGACTTACCCACAGGTTCCACGTTCCCAATGTTGTCAATGAAGTCCCGCTTTCCCAGGTAGATTGTCAGCTGTGGGGAGGAGATGACCATGGTTGAACTACAGAATGTTTGTGATTGTGTGTTGAGGGAAGGGGGACATACACGCATCAGAGGAGCTGCAAATTTTGCAGAGATCAGAACAATTCCATTTTAAATGGAGTAATTATTTTTTTCCAGCAAACATGCAATCCCCACAGGACTCACCAGGATTATCCACACGCTTCCAGACATCAGAACCGAAGACCTGATCTAGACCAACTCCCAAAAGTACAACACAAATACTTGTGCATGGCATTAAGAACTGTAGATTCAAAGATTTTTGGTGCCATCAGGTTGGAAAGATGTTTTAAACATCTACCAGCAGGAGTACAAGCCAGGAGGGGGGTGAGGTGAGCTGCGTTCCTCTTGTATTATTATAACATTAGAAGTTTGCCCTAAGAATTATTCACATCATCTCCTCAAACTTAGTGCTAATTATGGTTCAAGGTTCTTCTTCAGGAAAAAATGAAGGCGACAGGAAAGAGCTTTCTATTTAGTCTCCAGTCTCACTACAGGTGAAACTCATACCTAAATAAACCCATTCTTTCGGTACTCACAGCTTTGTCACGGGTGCTTTTTTTGAAGATAACTTGTTTTTGTGGAGAACCAGCATTCTTCCCATCCATCCCTGGCTTTTGAGCCTCAGGGCAGCTGACAGTTAGAGATGGGGATGTGACTGTGGGTGAATGAAGGTTTTCTGCCCCAAAATGTCCTGGGAAAGATGCCTGGGGAAAACAGGTGGATGAGACAAAAGCAGAATCATAGTTGGTAGGTAAAGCACTGTACTCCTACGTATAGTTTGCCATTTCAGAGCTCCACACATACCCAAACGTTGGCTAAGGTTCAGTCTAGGAGCTACAAAGGTGGTTTGTGTTCATAAGGAGTCAGACTGAACCCAAAATGAGAACACATCTGCCCTACTGCATTTTTCTCAACCCAATGCAACCCATCACGTGCAGGGTATCACTGAACTCAAACCAGAATGGACCTTAAGAATAGAACAGTCCAGCTGCCTGCCCAGAGAGGTAACAGTTATAATCAGGGGTAGGGAACAGCTTGCACCCAAAGGACAACAACAGATGGAATAAAATTCTTCAGGAGGAGAAAAAAAGGCAGGGGGGAAGGGAAGGGGTAAAAAAAAAAAATAGAAGGGGGGGAAAAACAGAAGAGAAAGGGGAGACCACAAGGGCACAAGAGATATCCAGAGTGAGAAGTCCAGAAGACCTAAGTGGTACAAAGCAGAGAGATTAGTTTTTCATTTGTTATAAGTCATAAAATAGCATCCAGGTAATGATCAGACAGCAAATTTGAAATAAGGTGAAGCTCTTCCCCAGTTAACAGAAGATTCAAGGCGGCTCTGGAAATCACCAATATGAGTTGGATCACAGGACTAGACACATTCACAGGGAACAGGCTTTTGGCAGCTGTTGGACAGGGTGATTCAGGGGCAACCTCACCCCTGTAAGATGCTGAAGCTGAGGAGCAGCACCAGGAAAGGACGATGCTGCACTGCCCTGTCCTTACACTTCTCCCCATCACACCGGAGTGAGGGGGTGCACTGTGAGACACACCCTTGGCCTGCTGCTGTAGGACTGTCCTCCCATTTGCTCCCATTCTGTTTCCCTGCTTGCTTTCCCATTTTAAAACTGCTTCGAGAATGAAACAGTTTCTAGGGCCTATTTGCAGACAACAAACCATAAAAAAAGGAAATAGTTTGCTCCTGGGAAAGCTGAAAATAATGTACGGGAGAGATTATAAACAGACTGTACACATTTAAGAATTTCTATTTTATGGAGTAGGTTTTCCATGTCCAGACTAGTATTTGTTGCTGACCAGATGTGCTACTCAAATAAACAAAACAAATAACATTAAATACCTTGCTGTGTTCCCAATGACACAGGAGCTTCCACAGACAATGATGGGGACTCCCAAACTCCTAAGGAAAGATGACTTTTCCAGGCAGTCCTGTCCTGTTCTTCTTTGCCTCTACCAGAATCACTGACCTCTTCACAAACAAGGAAGACAATTTGTAGGGGATTTGAAAGCTCATCTCTAGTTGCGTCCATCCAGGATTTCAAGAATTAATCCCCTCCAAGAGCAAATATTGTACTTGGGCTAAGGGTCAACCGGGAAGTGGTTAAGTCAGCAACATAAGGCATTACCTAAGGACACTCAGACAGCCAGTGAAGGGGTCTACAGCGTCCTACTCACATGCTTTGGAAACACTGCACACTTACATAGCACAGGACAGTTACCAAAAGCAGCTTTATTCACTCTAATGCTCCATCTCCTCCTCCCCAGGGTTCCAAGACTTCCAGCCTGGTAAGAAGCTGAATGGACAAAAGCCATTTATGAGAAAAGGAGTTTGGAAAAGACTAAAATGCCATTTTGATGGACCATCAAACACTGAGAACAATGTGTCATTCTCACAATCACTAAGCAATGTATCTATTATTGTTTCACCAACATCCCACTGGCATGTGATGCAAAACACTGTTGCTGCCTAGTACAGCCCCTCCCTTAATTTAGTTAGAGAGGTACAACATCTAGGATTTAAGAAACAGATATTTCAATTAACTTCAGCTTTTCTGTTCATAAATCTTCCAAGAGTAGCTTTACCCCCCACCAGTGAATTTGGCCTTGATATTTTGCTCTACAGTATGTGTAATTTTTGGCTTGCAAGCTGCAGGAACAGCTGTAGCTTTCCTCTGGTTGCATGTGTTCCTTTGATTCCAAGGATCACATGAGATCCTCTCAACTTGCCAGCCCAACAGCCCCTCCAGCTCAGGCAACCTTGCAGTCACAAATCAGGCTTGCTTTTCACAAACCATCATCAACATTAGCCTGAATACAGTGGCTGGGTTACACAAATTATTTCCAAAAAACGAATCACAGAACCAGTGTTCCTCAGCTCTTTTGGAGTTTTCCAAATTCCAACAACATTTTATTAACTGGAGGTGGATTATTTGGAGAGCTTAATCACTACTCTGTCTATTCAACTTTGGCAAACACAAACCAGCCAGGCTTAAACCACATGAATTTACATGTGCCAGTGCTGCAGAAGGAAAGCCAGGTCCTGACTGCAGGAAGTAGGGAAGAAACTCCAGAAATTAGCTCAGCAAATTAACAACTTCTATTCAGTCACACTTTGCAAAAGCAAAAGGGAGAGAGCTGGTTTTGTACAAGTTTGTGCTGCAGCCCCTGCAGGGTCATTAGTCCTCCAGGGGAGGATGAGCATTCCTGTTGGTACATGTGCCACTGCAAACATTCTCAGAGGACCTTGGAAACAGCTTCTCCATAACCCTTCGATCTGGAGGAAGATGCCCAGCCCATCCCCAAAACCACTTGAAGGGCAGCTCCACCTTTAGAAATGAAACTGCAACAGCCCCTTCTGCACCACAGGTCCCTTCCTTGGCTCTTCTTCCCTTTCAGGCTGAAGCAGAACAGGAGGCAACAGAAGTAATCAAAATATAGGGAAAAAAAAAGCTAAAATTGTTCACTAGAATTTCCTGCATACCTTGCTCCTAAGGAACTTTAATCTAAAGTGCTTAAGGTCTTAGCTAGCTGGCCATTACCCTTCAGCATTATTAACCTGCTTCATAACAGCATCAAGGGGCCAAATAAAGCCCTTTGTGCAAGATCTGTGTCCACGCTGTAATAAAACACAAGTGTAGCAGCCTAAATTATAAACATCCTAAACCCATTCTGATCCTCCTGAGCAGAGCCTGCAGTTTTGATTACGTTAATCTCCCACTAATCTTTCATCATGCTGACTTGCCATTTAGGGATCTGCTTTTCCACAGTAACCAAGGTCACCCAGACTCGTGGCAGGTGCCTTTCCAAGGACTGTCTGCCACTGCAACAGGCAGAAGAAAAAGCACCTCGCCTTTAGAAATGGTTCAGAATACCAACTTTTCATTTTTACTACAGTTCTCACTTCCATGAGCTGGACAGAAGCTTCTTATGAGAAAAGGAGGGTGGCAAGTGATGGTTCTTAGTTACGAAATGTGCACACTGAAGAGCTGAAGGCTTTGCTTCATTACTCTGAAGCTGGAACCAGAACACCATCTTCAACAGGGGGGTTTGTGTTTTTAAAGGAACGTGGAACTCCTACTCCTGGCTTCAGAATTTCACAAGGGAGCAGTTGAAGTCTCACAGCAGGAAAAGCCTTCTGTTTTCAGCAGTGTTTGAAATACAGATCCTGATTTCCTCTGTTCAGTAGTTTATCCAAAACATCCAAGAGTACATCAACCTTTCAAGGATGGAGGCACTTGTTCAGTGTGGCAAGAATTCCTTCAGTCTCCAGGCAGTATTCCTGGGACAGGGCAGGCCCAGGCTGCCCCTGTGGGATGTCCAGCTCCAAGCTTGGAGCATTATCCTCTTTCCCCCTCCACACCAAATCCCACAATGTGGCTGAACACAAACTCACACTTCACCACGAAAATGACATTTCAGGTTCCCCTCTATGCTCATTCTGAATGAGATCTCACACACACACAGACACACAAATAAATGAATCAGAGCACTGTGGGGTTTTAAAAGCAGAACACAGGTTTATTTACAGTCAAGTTCTTATGGGCAGCTGAATAAATAAAAACTTTGCCCCACATACTCTAAGTCCCCTCTGCAGAAAGTGTCTGAACAAAAGGCTGGGTTAGAGGGAGCCTGTCAGAGCAGCTGCCCCCAGCCCAGCCCCTGAGAAGAACACACTTCCTCAGTAAAACACTATCGGGAAAGAAGAAAATAAAGTGCAAATAAAAAGGCAATAAAACGCTGGTGGCTTGTCTTGAGGCCCAGATGATGTGGAAAGGTTTGGCTGGATAAAGATATGCCAGGTAGCTCCCTCCCAGCCACACCATGGGCTGGGGTGCCAGAACGGGGACAGAGCCAAGACACCGCTCCGTGACACAGAGGGCTCCAGCGCAAGGGGGAATATTGCACGTGTGCTCAACAAGGGGCAAATGGCCTGGAATTGCCAGCACCAAAACAAACAATGGATTTGGGATCTGACCCCACTGCTCCCCTGTGTTCTACTGACAGCCGCCGGGACAGGACGGATGAACAGGAAAAGGGACCAAACATGTGCATTCTGGGACTGAAGTCACAGTGTGACCACATTCCTCAGCACAGCAGCACAACTTCCACAACAAGTTCAACAAGCTGAACTTCTCTCTCCTCACGCCCAGTAACCAAACTGCCTGTGGTATAAAAAGATTAAAAATCTTCTAGTTTGTGATGCCCAAGCTGTTGAAGGGCATTTCAACACGTGGGTGCAGAAGTCCTGAAGAACAGACCATCACCTCAGGAGCAAGTGAAACCGATACAGGGAGCTCACAGGACAGTGCTGGAGAGCCTGTGCCGGGATCAGAGCAGATCCAAACAGAGCTGGTAAAACTCCAAGGCAGAGTTGCCAGAGCCACAGGAGACTCTCTTTAAAAGCTGTTCCAACACTCCACACTGCCCAGGACCTGTCCACATTTCAGGATCTTCTTGCCCCACACCTGAACTTGGCCACGAGAACAGAACACAGGAGACAGGACATGTTTTAAGTCAGCATACACAGTAACTCCTTCCCAACGTTTCCACCTCAGAAGTGCTGTAGATACATTTGTGTGACAGGATATTTGGCACAGCTGTCTGGTGAGGAATCCTGCTAGTATCTTCTGCTCCACTTGGTGCAGAGATACTGCATGTAAAGGCATGACTAAGTAGCATTCTCCATCCAGAACAGCTAATCCCTCGCTGAGTCCAAGTGCCACAGTGCAGTGACGGCCGTGAGAAGTCTGACTCAGGCTCCTTTCTCCGTTGCTCCAGAACTTCCCTCTGGAAAGCAAAGCCCATGCTCTTGTCAATATCCCAACTCCGGATGAATCTGGGCTCGGGTGTCCCTCCTGTTCAGCCCCGGAGCAGCAGCAGCACCACACAGAGCCGTGCACCCTCCAGCAGTCAGAACTCAGCCCACAGCACAGCCTTGTTGCCCTTGTCCACACTGACCACGTGGGCACCCGCTGGCGACCACGCCACTGCATTGATGGGAGAACTGAAACAGAAGCCAGGGGTGAGTTTACAAGAAAGTTGAATTCCACAACACTGAACGCAGGAATGAAATACCATAATACTGTGATCATCAATTAAAAAGCACTTTCTCAGCTCTCAAGAGACTTGGCCTTCTAATAAGCCTGAGAGAGGTACAGTTTCTTCAAAATATATTGAACATACTTTATTAGAATCATATCTTAGTTTAAGAAGGTAACAATAACAAATCTAACCTAATTCAATCTAGAGAATACTGTCATGAATCCATAAGGAATCTGCATATTAAGAATTCTCACACACCAATATAAGTTGCAAGGCTGTACAACAACAACTCTATCATCGCTCAGCAAGATTCACAACCCAGATCCCCACTTTGGATTGTGTGTCCCACCTTCCTCACCTGTGATGCTTTGCAAGCGTCCTCTCCAATTTCCCAGTAAGCACATTCCAAATGTAGAGGGCCCCATCAGCTGAACCAGCAGCCACATAGTTACTGTCAGGGCTACGAGATCAAACAAGGTGCAGAAGGCAAAGAACAAGTCAGCAATTTTCAGCACACATCATCATTCCACCCACAACTTCCTAAGCAAGAAACTTGGCATTAACTACTCCTTTCAGAGTTTTGTGTTACCACCTGCCAGCACTAAGAGGTGAAAGCACTTTGAAATCAGAGTGTTTCATGACATTGGATCAACATCTAGAGATAACACTATCTTGACCAAGAGGAAACACTGGGTGAATCACAAACTCCACCCCAGTTTTCCTGGCTGTAAGTGGGGACCAATGCAGCCAAGCATCAGGAATCGCTCACTTTGGCTGAGGAAAGATTTATCAGGTACCTTGCTTATATCTGACCTTACCTGAACACAACTCTCGTCCAGTCAGAGCCACATTTGAATCCCTGGGCACTGAAAAGTTAGAATCAGATAACTGTTAACTAATTTATAAGAAGAGAGACTTTCAGGTTGTTTCTGAAGATCATGGTAAGGATTTCTGCATGGTTCAAAATAAACTCCAGCATCCCCTTATCTTTGCTGTCAGATTCTAGAGAACTTTGCCACCACGTAGAAAAAGAGTTCAGAGACCGTTCTCTCCATGGAGGTACTGAAAAACACTCCAGTACTGAGGACAATCCACAACCCAGTTCTGAAATTCCCACTGTTCTTGTGAAGAACACACTCACCTGAAGGTCTGCTTGACAGCACTAACCCTCAGGTCGATGATCTTGAGCAGATCATCACGGGAACAGGTGAGAAGCTCTGTTCGCTCCGAGTTCAGGTCCAGAGCTGTGATTCTTCCAAGCAGCTCCAGCTCTTTTACTATGCTTTCAGTCCTAAAGACAGAAAGGGAAAAAAAAGGGAAGGGAAAAAGACAGTAGTGAACCAGGATCCAGAAGCCAAACCACTGTATCAAAACTTTGACTTGTCCCAGTGTAGAAGAAGAGGAGAAAAAGGATTACTTGGTTTATTCTTGTGCTTTGTTTCTCTCCCAAGCTAGATCCCACCTCGTGGATAACATTTCCAGATGACAGATAGATACAACTTTCCTCACAACCCCATCCTAGAACAGCAAATACTGACCAATGCAGAGTATTTACCAGCAAGCAGGCTGCCTTTTCAGAAAAGAAATGGCATCCCCCCAAAAAAAATCCAAAATTCAAAATACCAAATAGTATAAAAGTAGTAAAAAAAGTCTCTTTCAATGGCTTTCTGCAACTCCTACAACAGTCTCATTGGCTTCCCAGCTCAGGTAGAAGAGTTCCCTAGCTCAGACTATCCTGACAGCAATCCCATAACCATTCCTACACCATAAGCTCTCCTATGATAGTTTTACCTGATGTCCCAGAAACGGATTTTCTTATCAAAATGTCCACTCATTACACACTGCTCAGTACACACGATGTCATTGCAGCTAGATCCTGCAAACACTGTTTTTATACCTAAAAAGGAGAAACCAATGGTGACACACTTAAATTCACACTGTACAAACTGAGGAAAACAGAGACAGAAAACAATTACAAACCCCCCTGACACACACAGTGGCCACACACAGCAGTGCCCAAGGAGTGCCACGGGGCAAACTCTGTCTTAGAATAATCCTGATTTAAGTCTTCAGCAACCTCTCTGCCCTTCTTAATCTCCTTTGCTGGGGCTAATATCCCTTTAAATGTGCCTGTGACAGCTGCTTTACTTCTACTTCATGTTTAGCCAGCTATAATTTGCTGCTGTTAAACAACATGAAACTGTCTCCTTGACCTCTGTTCATGATCCAGGTATCAAGGTAACCTTGAATCTCAACTGGTCTCTCAAGTGCAAGCAAGTTGAAGAGCCATCAGTAGGAAAAAAAGCCAAGGAAACAAGGTGTTTCTCCCAAAGAAAAACCTGGATCTTAGCAATTCCTCCATTTTAGACATTGAAATTTTTGGTACATTTCTATCCACCTCAGGGTTAAAAAACCTGACCTGGTTCCAAGTTTTTAGTGGAAGACTGAAGTAGGCCCCCCCAGACTGGTAAAGAAAGAACCCTCCCAAAGCTGCTATCAAGTGTAATAGCATTAACAGTGCTTCCTGCACACACAGGATTCCTTACTCCAGGTAACAGGCAGAAACAGTCCAGTTACTTGAATAACAACAGACAATGGCACGGCTGCCAGTTTTTCCTTTCTTTAGACTAGCAAGGAGATGAAATAATCTATCTGAGGCCAGACTCCCATGCCCATTCAGCAGAAGCACATGGATGAAGGACAGCAGTTATGTCTCCTTACAGACTTTGCTGCGGAGGTCCCAGAGCTTGAGGGTCCGGTCGTGACTCCCCGACACAATGCGCGCATTGTCCAGCAGGAACTTGGCTGACAGGACTTTACCGCTGTGGCCCGTCAGGGTGTGCTGAGGACAAGAGATTTACAGGCTGAAACTGTGTATTTCCACTGGCTTCAATCACAACTTGCATATCTACTGCACTGTTTGGAGGAATAAACATCTCTTCCAGTCAAACAGGGACTAACACTGAGAAGGAGCGGTAAGTACCGCAGAGTCCAGCCTGAGGATGGGAGACACAGGTCACCTTTGGCTGCAGCTTCTCCTGCTACTCAGGAACCTGCAAAAGCTCCCTTCCTAACACTCCATTCACCTACACTTCATGGACACATGGCAACTGCAACACAGCCCTGCAGGAGCCAAGAGAAGGGGTTAAACCATGCTGCAAATGGAAATTGTGCCTTCCTGGTTTTATAATGAGCTTCCCTCAAGGACACAACAGGGTATAAAGTCCCGACTGTTGTTACATCTTCAAGCCTAAAAGCTGAGACAACCAGAGATTTCAGAAAAACTCCCTGCAGCAGCTTCTGTAAGTGCAGGGAGAGGCTCTGTGGGGCTGAGAACATGAACAGCATTCACTTAGAACTGCTCAATATTTACATCCTAAATCATAAAACAGATAATGAATGAATGAAGAGTTATGAAAAACAAGAAATATTTCTAGATACTTAGAGTTTTTAAATACTCAAAGGACTATCAAACTACACAAAGCAATCTGGGCTTGGGAAACACAAAAGAAAAACCCTTTAGAATGGAATGGGAACAAAGTTTGGGAAAAAAAAAGCCCTGAAACACAACACAGAGTCAAAGATCATCTCAAAAAGACCCCTTTTCTTAAGAAAGGACACAAACTCCAGCAAGGACTAACTTTCACTCTGCATGTCTCTTCTGCTCTTGCTGCACAGACATTACAGGCAGGTATTTGCATTTAAGCAGGGAGTGTGTGGCACAGTTCACTGTGATTTCAGCTTCACTGCCTCTGGCTCCTGTGCAAGCCAAGACAAATCCATACCACACACTCTCAAAACAGAGTGCACTATTTTATCTCAGCAAACAGTGAATCCACTCCAAAAAATTACAGGAAGATTACATGAAGCCAGGTGGATGTTTGCAGGCAAAACTAACTTTTTGTAGCAAGTAACCTACGCTCTGCTAAACTTGTACTCCCTGTAACTCACATTCAACAAAGAGAAGCTGCAAAAGAGCTGATATTCTTCACTTTCCTAACTGAGACCTCACATCTCCACACTGAGAACTACTCAGTGAATTATCATGCATCTCTTGGTTATAAGGAAGACATGAAATATCAGAAGATTTGGAATATCAAAGTAGCATCTTCCTAAAACAAAAAGTTGAGGACAAGAGTACACAGGAAATTAAAAACCCTCAAACTCTTGGAAAGCTGAGTTGAAACTTTTCTTTCAGTCAATCAAAGGTGAAACTTTCTTTAAATTAGAGCCAAGTGGTAGAGAAGAATGTGAGTATAAAGGAGTTAGGAAGAAAGGAGGAGCCTTTCAAAAGACATTGAGAATAAACTCTGGCAGGTTCGGGCTTGCTGCCTTGGAGAGCCAGGCAAAGGGCTCCTTTTCAAGAAAGCTGCTCCTGACTTAAACCAAAAGTCCCTCTTTGTCTTCTGCAAACCCTTTTTCAGCAGCCCTCTCCTTGGAGCAAGGCTAAAACATTGAGGTGGCTCTCCATAAACCATAGGAAGCATTTAACCTTCCCCAGAGGGGGGCACAGAAGTGTACTTTACGTGGCAAGGTTTGCAGTGGGGGGGCTGCATTGGGAAAATGTGCAGGAACTGGGACTTCCTGCAAGGCTGTGCACAGACCAACCCTGCACCCACACAGACCTTCGAGAGATAAAGCACCTGCTAACGAAAAGAACTACTAAATGTGTCTGCAAATGCCCAACTTCCAAAATTGCCACATCCCCATTAGACAGAATGGGAATACAAGACAGAAACACCTCTTTGCCTCATGAGACTCACCCGTAATCGATTGTCATCAACTGTCCAGATTCTGCTGGCAAAGTCATTTGAAGCTGCTAAGAGGTAAGAACCCTGTGAACACAAGTTTCATTTAAAACTCCTTCCGCTAGTCAAGATGTAAATTAAACTCAAATATTTCCAATGAATCATTAAAACCATGTTAGTGCTATTTTGCCACAGGAAAAAAAGAATAAAACCAAAAACACAGTGGCATATGCCAGTCTGGAAAGTTAATGTGTTCCTTCCAAAAGGGCTACAGCTTCTGCTTATCACCAAAATGGGAGTGATTTGTAGAATCATGACTATAGATAAAACAATATACTTATTATAACAATAAGAATTTATAAGAATATACAATTATAACCAGACCAAAAAGGACATTCTCCTTTCCCTTCTGCTGCACTGAGGAAACAGGTTCTAGTTTACCCTCATCTGTTGTGGAGGCATATTTTTTCTTTCATCTTTTTTTATTTTTTTTTTTTTCACCACAGGGTAAAAGCTGTGCTTAGACAGGCCTCAGAGCAGAATTAGCCTGATTCTTGCAGTTTTCATTACAATTCTAACGTTTTAAGCTAAGATTCCAAAAACTAAACCTGTCTGAGGAGAGATAAATTGACTTGTTCATGGCTTTAGGCTCTCACAAGTCATCCATGATGGAGAATGGACACCACAGAATTCATGCTTGCACCCCTGTCCACCTCAAAAGACTTTCCTGAATCCTTGTAAGTCCACTACCTCAGGTGGTTCTCACCTCAAATGTGTTCAGGCAAAAATCAGAACTAGTTTCTCCTGCAGATGAACAGCACCAGCACATCTCTAATAAGCTGGTCAGTGTCCACAGGAAGGATCCTTTTGGGTGTCAGTAAAGTTTGGCACACAGAATCATCCCCAAAGGGCAGAAGTTCTGTCAGCTTTGTGTTATGGAAGAGGTCTCAGCACAAAAGTCAGATCACGTGTCCACTTAGAACAATCCAAGACCCCAAACTCCTTGAAGCAGGACTGTAGGATGCTGATCCCAGCCATGTCTCCGATACTCCAGGTGAACATGAACTGAGCACATCTCAAGCTGTCAGCAAACACTCTGCCAGCCACGACATTACTGTGCCATGACTGGTGAGAAACTGCTGGGAGAAAAGGTCATGGAAGTGCAAGTCTTGGGATAATCAGACCTTTTACTATTCATCACAGACCTCAGTAAAACACTTATGAAAATAAACTTCACAGAAATAAAGCCTCAGTGCATTTGCTTTTTCGTGCTGTTATGCCAGCTTCAGTGGAAAGCTGAAGACTAATTTCTTACTTTAGACAAAGCCAAGTGTATTTTATTGTAATTTTATCATAATAGCCCATAACAGCCAATGTCTGAGCTGCATATCATCTTCTGAATTGTAAAGCAAAGATGAGAATTACAGATTGCATCTTACCAAATAGCTATCTTTTGTACACTTTTAACTATTTGCAGTTACTCTTGGGTTTTCACTCATTTCTTAGGTAACTTTTCAACTAGAATGTAAACTGATAGCATAGAACAACACAATTCCATTAATTTATTCCCAATCACAAACAGTGGATATTGCACAGATACTCACAGCACTATCAAATTCTATGCTTGTAATCCCAGCATTACTACCAGAGAGGGAACCTTTGGGCTCACACCTATCTGCACAGAGAAAGACGAACAAAAACTTCAGCAACGGATTAGAACAGAAGCTGACACAAAGTGAACCATAATGTGACTTTATTTAGCATCCCACCACACCCCAAAGCAAAAAGGTTTACCTCCCAAGACTTCCCAAAGCTTCACCCTCCGGTCCATGCCTCCTGTGGCGAGCAACCGGGAGCCAGGGCTGAACTGCACTGCATTCACCTCCCCGTCATGTGCATCCTGGGGGGAGGAAAGAACAGCCACCCAAAGTGGAATCAGCACAGGCAGCCCAAACCCCACACAGCAGAAAGCCACAGAACGAAAAGGTTACACAGAATCACAGCTGTGGGTCTCTCAGCAGTTTATAGGAAACAAAGCCACAGACAAACTCTGCTACGGCTGGTGGGGTATAGACGGCAAAAAGGCTGATCCTTATTTGGAGAAAAAAAAACAAAGGCACATAAAGAACCACACCACAGCAAGGACTCAGCAGGGATAATAAACTGGCAAAAGCCTTACAATGCTTTTAAGTTACACCAGAAAAAAAAATAAGGAAAGGGAGGACAGGACAGAAAGCAGTAACAGGTGATATTCTGTAGAAGGAAACTAACTTTTCATTTCTCCATCTAGAGACAGCCATAGAACATGATCCAAACAGTTCATGCAGCCATGGAACACTCAAGTCAGGCTTGAGTTAGGCAAGTCTGCTAGAAAACAGCCTAACAGGTGAACTGCATTCCCTCAGTGCACTGGTGATAATGCTGCCTTACACTGGTGATGAAGTAGTGCCAGCACAGTGTGACAGCACCTTCTCCAGAGAACTTGGGCTTAAGCTGTGCTTCCTATCTGCATGTGCAGGGACACCCCTGCTTTCTCACAGCTTAATGTTCTGAATTCTTAACTTTTTAAAACCTATGAAAATTCTAAGATTCATTCCTTTTTATTGCCCTGTTAATTTCACAGCTTTAAACTACTTACCCACACAGTATTACTACCACATTATCAATTAATTTGCTGCATTCCTTTTCAAGTCTTTTCAGTAACTGCTCCTTCAAAACCAGCCTTTCTTATATTTTTCTGCAAGTTGTTGCTTGAACTTGGTCTGCCAGGTCATATTTAGGGGTCATCACACTTCAAATCTGATCTCCCTGCAGGTGCAGAGGAGCCACTCACAACAAAGCAGGTCAAAGGCCTTGCCTAGAAGCTCTGCCTGAGAATGATGGCTGAAGTGATTTCTTTTTCTGCCTTCTACTCACCTCTCCAAAGGTGAGCCCAGTCTGCTCCCTGTGTCTGCCACAGAGTCCTTGCATTAATTCCTGGAATGCTGTGCCAGACCAAATGTGTCTTGACATTCTATCTGGGTTCAAAACACAGGAGCTAAAGCCTAACATCTCCTCTGCTGATGGTCCCTTTTCAAGCTCCAGCTGTCACTTAAGCCATGACTCTATTCTCCCTTAAGGTAACACTGCTTCTTCCTCCACCCCACGACTTCTGCCAGGGAGGCTGGTACCAAGGCAGGCAGGAATACTCAAGCCTCCACACTGCAGTGAGCCACGATGGGTCTATGGATGAAAAACATAAGTCATTTCACACCCATGAAAAACCCACATCCAGCTCTGGAGAGCCCGAGAAAGCTCCAGACACCTGTCCAAACAAGCAGCTGCATTACAAGACAATTTCCTGCAGTACCTATCACTCAGAAGACAATGCCCTGCACAGAAATTTAAGTTTCACCTTGTGAGGCCAAAGAACACGTAAAGGAGGTCTCAGCTTGAAAACCTTTGATCATGCACAGCAAATGAAGACACCCCACCACCATGAGCTCCTCTTAACCAGGTCTGTTGGATTACATTTGGTGCCACAACTCCCTTCACTGTGGAGAACTGGCCTGAATTAATCCCAAACTGTCAGCAATCTCTTCCTCAATCACAGCTCTACTATGGCGTGATAGAACAGAGACTGTTGGGAGCCAAGAGGGTAATGGAGTGTAATTCCTCTGTGCCCTCAGAAAACTTCTTTGTCATCATTGACCTCAGCAAGACAGACATCAAGCACATTGGCTCTGGGAAACACCTGGGCTAAGAATTACAGGGAATGAACTATGCTACCAAACCAAGAACTCCTTCCTGTTTGGCAGTGCTAATAGAAACAGCTCCAGGACATCAGTTCCCACACCAAGAGGATTCACTACCTCCAAGGACAGTAAAAGGAATGGCAGAGCAGAGAATTTGTTCTATACTCACAAAGACACAGATGGCAGTAGTGGGCACTCTCACTTCCTTACTGGCACCTGGATGTGGCTCTACATTATCCTGGGGGGCAGGGAGTGAGGATAAAGAACGCCTCCTGAGATGAAACAAAGTAGAAACACTTTAAAATGAACAAGGAACACTGTTTCTCTTGAGTTCATCCATCTGTACCTGTCACTTAACTACCCTGCACAGCAAGTAAAAAATGGGGGAAGGTACTTTTAACTTTTTTTTATCCCATCTTTCAAAAATTACGTTTGTTGTATAACACTACGTTCACTTGTGGCTTCAGGTATTTCACAGTTCACCTGATAAGTTACCTGAACTGATAACTGACCTCATTTTGGAGCAGTCCTTACTTTTTTAATAAGAAGAGAAACATGGCAATGACTGCAGCTCCATCATTATGTCTAGGGAGACTCAACACCATTGCAGCACTACATCCCTGGCAGCAAAATGCTCCATTCCACACCCTTAAATGGGCTGCTCCATTTAAGCAAAGACCATCTACCTAATGCAGAGCTTGGCTTAGAAGGACTGGCTCCACTCTGGACACTAAGCACAGAACCCAATGACTTATTTTAAATAACCCTATTAAAGGAGCAAAGTGCAGTGGAAAGTAAGAGCAAACCCCACATACTCTCTCCACAAAGAGGGGCTCATTACTCTCTTACTGTAGACAGTTTCTAGCCAGAGTTATCAACATCTGAAATCTAATCAGGACAAGGCAGCTGGGTTCCATGTTACTTCAATGGAATACATTCACATGCTGGACTAAGCGCGGAGAATGTTTTCACCTGGCAGCATCAGAAGATTGATGTCCCAAAAGGGGAGACTCAGACAGACTGGAGGGAAAGGTCAGAGGTCAGCACACGGCAAGATGGAAGAAACAGGAAGTTGAGGAGAACAAAAAAGAAAAAAAAAAGAAAGGCAGAAGCTAGAAGAAAGGCTGAAAATACTTGCTCGTATTCCCTGTATCACCAAGATTTTGGCGTACATTGAAACCAATATACAAAACAAGGAGGTGAAAGTGTTCTAACCTACCCAAAGATATTAGTGATAGAGTCCAGAAGGCCTCCAGCTGGCTGGGAGAGTCGCTTACTGAAGGAGGGGAGCACAGGTTTAAACCTTGCGAACAGCTTCTCCACATAAAGATCAACACAAACACATTTCATAGCAACACGTCCCTGGAAGGACTCCCTCCCCTGCAGACCCAGCCCAGAGACAGAGAACACCAAAGGCATCAGTGCAAAAGTCACCAGTAACTGCAACTCAGAACATGGCTTGTGAGTCAAGTTTCTGCAACTTCCCTCAACCTCACCCCGTGAATTGCTGGGTTTAGATATGAATGTGCAAAGTCTGAAGTTTCAAGCAAATTAATCTGTGAATTCATGTAACTACCTCTTACTTTCCACTCACTGCTATTTTAGAGAAAGAAACAGATGCATTTAATCTAGGTGAATATCACTTTAGTATTTCAGCTAAACCCAGCTATTTGCAAAGTCACATTGTTGTCATGTGTAGTAATGAAGGCAAAACACAACAGGCACTGTTATACCCATGTTATTAACTATTTTGTTTTTAAACAGATTTTTTAGGCACTAGTGTAATTTAGTTAAAACAGCACAGGAAAACCAGCACATCTTAAGCACGGTAACAGAACACGAGTTTCCTACTGCTCTGGTGGAAGCACTAAACTGTGTTCCAGCTAAAGGCAACTCAAAATCCTAGGTGACATTCCCAACAGTGTTCCAACTCCCCTGTGCCCCCTGTTCTTGCTCAGTGACATGCTCCACAGCCCTGCTGCCCACGTACCTGGCCACGCGGCTGACGGCTCGCACTGGAGAGGTTTCCTCCGCTGTGTCCGAGGCTTCATCCGCCAGCACTTCGATGTCATCATCCCTGCTGGAGTGAGAGAGAACATCTCATTCCCAACCAGCCACAGCTTCCCACGGAAACCACCCAGCAACAGGCACAACTGATAGGGTGACCCCGCTCCAGGGTCTGCCAGTGTCCACGCCCAACCCACTCCAGGGTTATGCAGCTGCAGTAACACGCAGGTAGGTCCAGACAACACACAGACCTGGCTGTCACTGCCAGAGAGGTAACATTCAACAGACTACGTCTGAAAACAAGCACAGGCAGCAAATAAATTTCAGGTTTTTTCTTTCCAGCTGCCAATTCCTCATCACTGGTCACAGGGTTGGATTTCCACAGCCGCTATTTCTACTGACAGACCTCCTTCCCAGATTCTCCTTACTACAGACATTCCATTTCAGCTCTCAGCACTACAAACA